AAAAAAAAAATAACAATCTACAGCTAGCCTGACCCCCCTTCCTTTCAGGGCAGCAGGTGACTGCAGACACAGAAACCTTTCTGGTAGAGAGGAGACTGTGCTTGGGAAACACACAGCTGGGAAATCCACCTGGAGTGATACAGAAGGTGACACAGCTTGCAGAGCCCAGCCTGCACAGAACACTACCCACCATCACTGGCTTGGAAGCAAGCAGGTGTGTGAAAACAAACCACAAACTCAATGGACTGATTTATACATCCCAATGTTTATATTTGCACCCCTGAAGATCAGTAACAGGTAGGAAGGTGCTAGGAGCACACAGCTCAGGAACTACAGGACTTCTCCATCATATTTCTTGAAGAGGGTCTATTAAGATTTCACATTATTAGACTAACTCCCAAACTCATCCTTCTCCTCCAAGGGGCAAGATCTGTTTTGACATCCTCTAAGGCTACCAAGCTACTAGGGAAGATCTCCCACTGGAGGGTATGAGATGGGCAGGTAGGTGTCCTCCCTCTCAACCTCCTCTGTTTCCTCACTAGCCTTCATTGCAACCAACTCTTTCTCATCCCTAGAGAAGGTCAATCACAGATAGCCAGGATGCAAAGTCAGGACAGATGTAAGATGGGTGAAGTACAGCAAATTAGGACAGCCATCACCATCTCCACAGCTCAAACAACCCTTCCTCACTGGCCAGAAACCACAAGACTGACCAATCCCGAGGACATCTAGCACCTGAGCACTCGCAGAAGCTCTAAGACTGTAATGCACTCCTTGCATTCTACAATCCTGAAAACCAACTTCCAAAGATTTTGGTCTGAGAAAGAGTTGCAGTAACTTTCCGGATATGGACCAACTCAACAGCCATGACAAAGGGAAACACTGAACATCTTACCTGAAGGGTGAAGGGCTGAAGGGTAGAAATCCACAGGGGTACGACTCTGGGCCATGCGAGGGTCCATATAAGAGGGCATCATCATCCAGCGAGGATCAAAGCCAAGCATCTGGGGGTGCGGCGGGTAGAACGTCCGTTGGGGATGGGAATGGGATGGGGGAGGATAGACTTGCTGCTGCTGCTGCCAGTGCTGCATTTTGTACAGCTGCTCCTGCAGGGAAGAGGGATGGGCTGTTTGACATGAATGGTCACTCTGCCAGGAATCACACTTGTAAACTGGCCAGCCAAAGGAAAACACATTCCATGTGTTAGAGGCTCAAAATCAGATCAGATGGGAGGGGAGAGCAGATAAAGGCAACTCACTACCAGCTGGGAACGTGGCAGCTGTTATTATTCTCTAAATACCCAGAACAGCCAGAATATGTTGCAGCCAGAATCTCACAGCACTATGGGCTACATCATGTGGTCAAATGCAAGGGATCAGCTTCAAGACTGGAGTTTGCATTTTCTCAACACTTCTGTGAGATACAGGACAGCTCTCGGTCAAACAGAGATTCCTAATTGGAACCAAACACTTTAGAAGATGTTGCTCTTTGTAGGAAATGTAATTTTAAGTTATTTAGTGTGTATGTATATTAGCTCTACTCACGTGAGCCAAACCCATTCGGTAAGGACATTCTAAACTCAATTAAGGGACCTGTTAATATTTTATGGTATTTCCTGTGCATCCTCCAGAGACAGGCTGACACCTTTGCATTGTTTCCCATCTCCCACATGGCCAGCCCACCTTCCTTTAGCTGAGGACTGTCAGGATGTTAATCTGATTTGACATTTAACTTTTCCTAAAGGTCCAAGAGGAACCTGTACGTGAAGGGAGATTTGTGTACCAAAGACAGCTCTGAGCAGGTAAACAGCTCCAATTAATACGGAATACATCTATTTACTTGTCAAACTTTCCACCATCTTTCCTTACAGTGTCAGACAGTGTAACTGTTTATAAGAAAAGCCAATCCCTTACTGCAGAGCAAGAGAGGCACCCTTAAATCTGAACCTGACACACCATCATGGCAAAAGAGAAACTCAGATAAATACAAAGATTATATCAGAGTTATCCAGTGCTCCAGTACCTTGGAGAAAGTATTTCATTAATGATACCAACACTAATTTGTATTTTGTTCTTTTCATGGAACCACTGCTACTAAAGCAGCAATACAAGCCAGCCCAAATACAAACTGCCTCGTACATACTAACAACCCAGAGGACAAGAGAGAACACAATGAAAATTACATGTTCTTCCAGTAGCAATGACCTGTGGTATTATTAGCATGACAGCAAAGGCATCTAATTATTTTTAGTTTAAAAGCATCTCTTGTAAAGAGCAACATTAGCAGTGTTTGCTACTGTACATTTGAATGATGAAAATGTCAACTGCCCACTAACGAGCAGAGGGGATCAGCCATAAAAGAACAATTACTGAGCTTCCAAGCAAAAGCTAAATGTGAGCTCTTCACTAAGGCTTGCAGCAGCGCTGATTACATCGTATTTCAAGTGGTTATTCTACAATGAATGGCAATTAACTCTGCATCATCTCAAGCCTGGATATTCTGTCCCTTACTTTGACTCTGCTGCCCTAAGGAGGAGGCTCACTGCATCTGGAAGAAGAGCTGAACACCGTGTACAGCACATACAGCACTATTAGGCTGGGAAAGATGCAAGACACACAAAGCAGTTCGAGCTGGTCTCCCAGAGCTCCAGAAGAGAGTTTTCAGTGAAACAAAAATGAAATGGTTAAGACCAAACATATTTATGGTGCAAAGAAAACAGTGATTTGAAAGAGACTCAAAGAAAAAAAGCTGGGTAGATGTAGAGGACCACCTCTCTGTAAAGGCAGGAGGTGGAACAAGAAGTGTGACACTTCACAGCTCTCACGTTCAGCCCAGAAGCAGAGTCCAACCACCTGCCAACATAAGCAGAGTTGGCCCCAGCAAAAATGGCTGCCTGTACCTAACAGGACAAGGGCACAGCAAGTGCAAAGGAAATTTAAGCAGCTGACTCCTAAAGGTTCTCCTTTCCCTTGGCCTGTGTACTCAGCTCCTTGTCACTGCAGCAGTGCTGAAGAACAGCAGCTCCCATCTAGTGCCAGGGAATCAGAACAGAGGTTCACTGCCAGCTAAAGGCATTAGAGACTTCACGGGATCAGGCCTACAGCATGTACCAAGGCAGCCACTGCTACTCTCTTGACTTTGGACATGGGAAGGGGAACATCCCAACTTCTGCATACACACATTTGCAAACCAGAGCTCTGCTGCAAACCACGCAGTCCTAAGATTTCAACATTGTCAGGAGACACTGAAACAACCATGCCAGACAAGTCAACACTTCCAACAGCAGTGTCTACTTTTCTCCCAAGCAACTGACAGACCTGGCCTGCCCACACCTCTTCCCAGCCACAGAAAGCACTCATTACCACAACAGCTTCAGCAACACAGGGTGCACGAAAAACTCATGTGACCTATATAGAGCCCTTTTACCCCATCAGACAGGATACATCTGTCAAAGGCCACTGCAAAACTCCCAGTTACCACCTCCCAGCCCAAAGACAGTTGGTTGTGCGACTGTGTTGAGAACCAAGCAAACACAACGGCTTGGTGGTGGTCCAAGGAAGAGGGGTGGGAGTGTCACACCTATTACCTGCTGCTGTTGCTGCTGCTGCCTCTGGAATCGTGGGGGAAGAGATTTCTGGTATTTGTTGAATTCCTGTGCTGGGGAAGGAGCTTCTCTGAGCTCCTCCTCACTGCTGCTTTGGGCTGCTGCTGCTGGGGCAGGAGTCTCCTCTTCCAGATATCCAACAGAGACTTCCTGTGTATGAAACTCAGGGGTGGCTGCAGAGAAGAAAATAAGCTTTGAAAAACCCTGCTCACGACAGGGCTTGTGAGTGCACCACCACAACATACACAGCTGGGGATTGTCCTGACTGTGTTACATGGTTGAACTTTATTACAATCATATATAGCACGTCACACAATCTCCCTTATTTGCCTTGACAGATCTAGAGGGCTTTGTCCATCTTGTTTTAGTGATAAATTCTGAGATCCTCCTCTGACATCAAACTTCTGCTTAAGCATGGGGGGGGGAAAAGTCCATTTCCCCTGTTACTCCTTAAACCTGCCAGCACTTACTGATAACAGACTTTCTGATCTGTGGCCCCTGAGCACTTTAATATTATCATGTAATCATGAGAAGATCAAGAGGCCCGTTACAACAAGGTATCTGCTAGCACAGCTGACTGAGGTAACCAAAGAGATCTGCACTTCTTTTAATAGTCTTGTGGGTTGTTTGTTTTTCTTTTTTTTTTTCTTAAATGAACCTTCATCATTAACCTAAAATACTCTGCAGAATACATGAAACAGACAATCTCTCAAGTGCAACTGAGTGCAACTCCAAATGCTCCCTCCCAAGAACTCCCCACTTCAGGTCAGAGATCAGCACAATAGCAAAAAAGCGGTTTTTACAAAGTGAGGCAAGCAACATTTCTTTACCTCTACAGAAAGCATGCCCATTCTCTTGCACAGCATTTTTCTCTGTGCTTGGGGGTCGCAGGTCTTCATTCTCAGTGTGTTTCTGGGTCTCCCCACTCTTCTGAGCCAGTTTGCATTTCTGATCGAGTTGTTTCAGCTTTGCAGCGCAGGCTGCCAGACGCTCCTCCCTGGCTCGCCGCTCCTCCTCCTCCCGTCGCCTCCTGGCTCTCTCGACAGCCTCCGAGATCTCAGAGTGCACAAACTTCTGTCTCAGTGGCACCTTTTCTTCTTTATCCTCGAGGGACTGCTGTTTGAGAGTACCTCCCACTGCAGGCTTCTGCCAAAGGAAAAATGTTCTTCAATAAACACAGTCTAAACATCTCCTGTATATGGAGCTTTGCATCCCACGTGAGAAAATCCCCTCCTGACTCCCTCCTCTCTACCCTCATGCACACAAAGCCCGCTTTTCATGGGTAGTTATTGCTATCTTGTTCAGATCTCAGTTTTATCACTGTCTGACAACCCCTCTGCTCTGGACCAGTTTCAACTTCTCTAGTGGAAGTGCTATGCAGATGGATTTCTCTCCAGCTGGATATAAACAAAGACTTGAGAAATTCATCAGTATCCTGTTTTCAATAAAATGTCAAACTGGGTTCTTCAGGACAGCGATGCCTTGCATCCAGCAGCACAAGCCCACTCACAACAGTTCAACCTACCTGGTACTCAGATGCAGAGCTCCAGCCATTCAGCTTCCTCGGAGGCTGCTGTGAATCCTGCACTTTCCGGACTGACCGGGCTAAGCCAGCTGAGTCACCCCAATTCTTTCCTTCCTCCAAGGTGTGTTTGACATCTGCACTGTCTGCAGAGCTCATGGACAACTGTCGCTGCCTTCTGGGATCCCAGCTGTTCCTGTCATACAAACAGCTTTACTTTTACATTTGCTACTTGCCTCAAAAAGCACATGCAATCTTATCAAGTGGCAAAGGCAACTGACTGTAACAGAAAGGAAAGATCCAAAAAACCACCAGAACAAGCAATGCACTTTTCCTCCTAAGGTGCGTAAGGATTAACACCACTATTGTGCAGCAGGATAAAGGTGAGACACAGAAAGGGGAGGAGGAAAAAAACCCTAGCATCCTGACACTCAGCTTCAAAAGCTACACACATCCGTAAAGCCAACCTAAACATTGGCCAGTGGAATAAACAAATCAGGGGGATCAAGCCTCAACATGTAGAACAAGTTTTAAAAAGATTCTGGTATGGTTTACTTTAACTGAAACAACTGTAGTTGCAAATACAGACACTTCTTACCACTTCTGTCGTCCGTCTTTAACAGTTTCTTCTTCTTCCTCATCTTCACTAAACTTCAGTTTCTCAGAGTAATCCACTTCTTCATGAATGCCTATGAAGGAAGGATTGGAGAAGGGATATACGAGAGGAAACAGGTCCCTTGTCCTGATAAAGCTTATGCCCTCTCTAGAACTAAACCAGGGAATGCACAGGCTTGGCATAAACTACTTGGAAAGCTGAATGTTCACCAGAGGTACTTGAATTGATATGAGTAGTGTGGTCCCACACTGCTGAACAGGTGAGCTGGTCTCAGAAGAGGAGCAGCAAGCAGTGTGGGAATGGGGCTGCAAATGAGACAGCCACCAAGCTAGTTGGATACAGAATGTCACAACTGACAAGGTAGGACTAACTCTTCTTCCCAGCAGCCATGCTGCTATCCTCCTGCTGTTTGGTGCTTTCAGGTTTTAGGAGTCTTCAGATCCAGTTCCTTGAGCATAGTGTGATGGAAAGATCAGAAGGATCCATTGTGTCATCATTTACACCAACAGCAATTTCACAACTACACAGACCACTCTTTGCTTCCCCTCCTTCCTTCTGTGGGAGTAAAACAGAGCCTCCAGAACATCCTGGCTATTTCATACTTCAGGGAGGAGTAACAACTTTACTTCACCTACTAGGCTGCTGCCTGAAGCTAGAGAATGGAAGCACTTTACCTGCCCAGCCATCATCTGCATCAGTGTCTAGTTCATCCAGCCCCTTTAGGTTCTCTGCATTGATAATGGTGGGCCGAGGTGCTCGCTCTATTTGCTGCCGAACTGGACGTGTTGGGCGAGACAGGCTGAGCCTGTTCTCTTTTCTACAGGGAAATGCAAAGAAACGGTTGGAAACAGCAAGCAGTGAAGAACGTAGAGCTGAGTTTGTAAGAGTGAATCAGTCCTTTTCTACCATGCACTTATACACAAGGGCTCCGAGTTTCTCTCCCTATCTAGCAAAGTTTCTTCCCCTTGTCTACCTGGTACACAACTCCTGGGGCTTACAGATCAGAGCTGCAACCCTTCCAGTCCAGAATCAGACACAACTACTTCTCACATCCGCCTGTTCTTCAGACACACAGTGCTTACAGTCCTCCAACATTTCAGGTGCTGCTGCAGCTGAAGTAAAGCACTGCCTCTTTGGGTAAAGATCAGGCTGCCTGCAGCTTCACCCACACAACTGGATCCCTGGCCCAAACTCTTGCATAGTTTAAGGTTCATGTCACACCCTGAACCTGCCTCTCAAGTGGGACAGTCATGGCAGCCTTACCCATCCTGGTCATTCATCTGGTATTGCCTGAAAGGTACCCGGGGCTCAAGTCGAAGCTGAGGAAGGGGGAAAGACCCTCGGTCCAGCGAAGCAGGGGTCTCAGATGGCTGTTGTGGACACATCTGGAAAGGCAAAGCAGAATAGTCTGTTTTTCCTCCTTGACACAGGAAGGCTTACCCAGATTAGGTTACAACATGAGCACGGTAGCTGCATCCACACAAAGGGAAAACAAACATTCCACCGTCTGGCTGCCTAACAGGCCACGTGCTAATGGTCACCATCTGCAGCTCTAAACGGAACACAGCAACTTCTCCTTAGGCTGAGCAAGGCTGTGCTACACTATTCTAGCACGAAAGGGCAAATGCCCAACAGGGGAAACTAAAAACAGATAAAGAGAAGGATCCCTGAGCAAGCCCTGGGAACCAGCTGAGAGTCCAGAAAACAGGTATCTCTGTTAACTCCAACCCACACACACATTATAAGAAACAAGGACAAGGGCAACTTACAAAAGCAGGTAGCATGTCATGGTATGTAGGTGGCTGGTAGACATTTCCCATGAACTGCGAAGCCCCTTTGCGGACAGGCTGAGCTGGGCGGAGAGACGGCTCCTTCGGATCGCTGGCACTCACTGAGGAGGGGGCTCCGTCTCCGGTGCTAGAGGTCTTGCTGCCCAGCTCAGCAGGGGAGGCGGTCAGAGATGTGGCAGAGGTGATGTTCCTCCCACCGCCCTCCCTCCAACTGGTGACATCTGGAAAGGAGGTAATAATTATGTTAACATTTGTAAATGCAGACAGTCACTCTGCCAGAAAGTCTCAAAACTCAAATACTCTGGTCAAGGCCTAATTACAAACTAAGCACGTAGAAAAACATCGGGGACCAAGGAAAATTTCCAAATGTGTTTATTTTTCTAAGAGACTAGCAGCATCAGTCGTTATTAAGTAATTGCTGCACCAGTGGTGTCCTTATTTATCAATAAGCCTAAATTCCAACCAACTCTGCTCCCCATCTCCACAGTCCTTACCCTGCAAAGTTAAGACCAATTAGATCATGCACAAACACTCAAAGAGAAGCCACGTCACACCACCCACTCACTTCACTTATGACTCCCCTAACCCAGTGGGAAGGGGCCTGCTTTGCAACAGAACACAGCAACTTTAATTAAACAATGTAGTAGATGACAGTCCATACTTGGCTGTCTGGACCACAGAACTCAGTCAGTGAACATCAGCACTACATGTGAATCTGTGGTCACTTACTAAGCAGCTTGACACATGTGAGCTCATAAAAAGATAAAAGGAAATGTAAGGATGGAGAATCTGATACTACTGTGAACTGGCATCCCCCTTCCCAAAACCCAGTCTGTGGGGTTATGAGCTGGGATAAGGCAGAAAGACACAATCATCCACTTACTCTGGGGGCGGAGGCTTGGTCCTGGCCCATACGACGGATCTAAGGCGCCCTTTTCTTTGCCAACCTTGTCCTGCTCGCCAGCTGCTTTCAGCGTCGGAAATTCCTCGGGAGAGAAGGATAACAGTCGGCTTGAGGCCCTTGAACCTGTCAGACAAATAAGCATGGGACTCAGAGAAGGTCTTTCCACTCTTTCAATTCCCTTAGGAGATCAGCCTGGAAAATGTGTTTCCTGAGAATCTGGGCCTCCAACATATTTAAACCCAAATTACTATCGTACCAGCACCTCAGCTCACTTCCAAAATGCTCTTAGACACTGTCACCAAAATGATAACACATGTCCTCACCCAGTACTCCTACACTCTTAACTTGGGATCTTCATTTAAATTCTTATGTTCAACAAAGTCAGAGTGAACTTTCTCAGCTTCCAATTATTTTTGTAAAGTACAAAATTCAGACTGAAGCAGAGATATAAATTCTGCAAGGTCACTTATAGATGATACCCTGTTATCAAGTATTTCACATTTCTATTCAGACTCTTTTCGCTCAGATCTCAATCTACTGGGGAAGTCTACTGTTAAGATTTCTGGCTATACTATACTCAGTGAAAGACCACGGATAAGGACCAAGTGCTATATGCTATACCCCACTCTCCTCCCTGCTGCAGCATTTCTAAGACACAGATCACTTCCCAGATCAGGCCAGGTTCATTTCTAGTCATTGGCAAATTGTCTTGCCAAGTCATCAGCCACGCTGGAATGACAGCTTTCTGTCCATTTTAAAGATCTACCAGTGACTGGAAAACAAAACACAGCAATTCTCCTAAATCTGCTGGAAAGATAGCACTGAATAAAACTGTCAGCATTACTGCACTACTAAACATCAAAAAATTGCTTTTTTGAGGATCGTTTCTTGGTGTTACTTGGCTAATACTCTTTTTAAAAAGGGCATTTCAGAATTACCACGTTATAAATATCAGCAATGAGTACTGAAGACCTGACAGAAGAGTCTCATCTATCTTTATCCTTGCTTGGCCTAAAGAGTCAAGAATGATTGGCTTCTGTAAGTAATCTTCACTTTCTGGAACTTGCACACTGTACAAGACTTCCCATCTGAAGATTCCCAGGGAAGACACTGCAACTGCTGCATGTAACATCTTCAAATATTTTGGACAGATGAGAATAAACAAGAAGGACGTTTCCCAAAAACACCACAAAATATCTGAGATGTGCTGAGAGTTCTGATTTCTACTTCATTATTCTACTGAACTAGAATGGCAGTAAAGAATATTAACAACATGGAAGTGTCTTTCAGGGGAGACTTCCACCCCCCAGGTAAGGCTGCACAATGTAACGCCTGTTATTGTGCAGGCATTAACAATCTGCAGTCTAACCCTAGGGAGCATCACATTGATACAAGTTTGGTGCACCTTTTTTTTTAAAAACAACTCCAAATGCCCCTTATGCAGAGGACACAGGCATGCAGCAGTTCATAATTAATTTACTGGACCACATTTCTTCAGGATACACCCTCCAAAACCAAGTATTTTTACAAAATTTTTTTTCCAAATTACAAAACCAAATTTACAGCAGTAATACCTAGGAAAAGCAAAAAGAAAAAGACTTTCCTCTTTGCCAATAATATTAGAAACTGCTGTATTAGCTTAGAAGGAAAAGCAACTGTTCAATGCCACTGGAGAGGAGGTGCGAGGATGGGATGGCCTAAGAAGTCCTTTCAGCCAGATTTCTGATGCTTCTGTGATTCAATTACCTTCTAATTAAGCTGCTCTTAGCCACATATGCAACTCTTTTCTTGGGTTGAGAACTCTATAATGATAAGTGTGACCTAGAATGAGTTTTCAAAAAATCTTTAAGAACATTGTTAGACGATCAGATTTCAAAACAACTGTACAGGAAGTCCACACAGCAGTCTCAAAAAAGTACCAATTAACCAAACAAGAAACAGTCTTTGCATTGGCCACCAGCCTCAGGCAAGCACAAGTCTCTGCTTTAACATTTAGCCTTTGAGAAACACCCTCTTCTCATTAAGTGACTCATTTAATTTAGGAAAAGCTTATCCCTTCCGTATCTGCAATGTACAGTTGTCTCAATTCTTTCAAATCTCTGCATCCTCATTCAACAACTGAATGGTTCCAGGTCTGTTCACATTAGAACAGTGGAACTGAGCTGTTACTCACACCACAGTTTTAATGGTAGTACCCAGTGCATCTGGAAACCAGCTCCTGTGTGGAAATGGATGTATCTCAAGACAACTAAACTCCCTATTTATGTTAACACTGCTTTAGGATCCTCAGTCAAGCAGAAACCATTAGCAGCACAGTTACACGGAGATAGAAAGGCCTCAGCCAAGGTACAAGCAACAGCTTCAATGCCACTTCCACTCACTGACACTGTAACACCCTTGGACCAAGGATGCTGTGTTCAGCCTCCTTGAGTATTATCATTACGGCCTCACTTCTGACCACCTAAGCAGGTGAAGCTCCCCATGCTACCAGCCAAGGAGATGCCTACATTTCCAGTCTCCCATGTCCTCTCTTCCTTCTTCTTAACCAATCCCTCCCCTCTTCCACTCCCTTTTCTGCACCTTTATACGCACTGCTCTGGGCTGATGGAAGATGCTTAAGAGGGGGCAAATGTTTCCCTTCTCCTTCAAAACTCCCCCTCCCAGAACTCCCTGCTGCTTCCCACGTGCATGAATCCTTCTGGCTCAAGGTGGTGATGACACGCACTCTGTTCAAGCTGTCTTGCACTGGCAGACCTGAATGGATGCAGTTGCATCATTCCAGCCAACACACTACACAGACTGAAAACAAGACTTGTACGGCCTCACTGCACCGTAACCAAGACAGCTGTGTCCCGTTCCCCATCTGTGTAGACAGGGAGGGCAGAAAGAAATGTAGTCCATCCCATCTCACGCCTGTCTGGGAGAAGTAGGCACATACTCAGCTCCATTTTTATTATACTCACCACCTTCTTGTCCTGCTGGCTTTCCATTCAGCTGTGCCCATGACTTTGGTCCACCTGGCACTGAATTTGTACTCTGAAAACAAATCAAAACACAAAGAAAAACCCCAACACCCACAGATCAGTGAAGTCTCATGACTGTTTCTCATTTCCTGGTTGGCATCTGCTACAGTTCAGACCTCTAGAACACCCAGATGTCAGTGGATACCACAGGTCTCCCCAGGTTCTTGTTGGGACTACAATGAGCCGTTCTCCACACCAGTGCACCATGATGCTACAGCAAAAATCTTCTTCTCTGCCCCTCCTCTCATCTCTCCTCCACTTATCTTCACCAACTATTTCCTCAAACCAATCCTCTTGGTTTCTTCCCTCTAATCAAGCTTTCCCTTTGTTCTGTTGAATTCTCCCAAATGGTCCCTCTTAATCTTCTAGATTTGTTCCATGCTGCACCTCAGCTTGAAGGCTACCCTACTTCCTCATGCATTAACCACTCTTTTCCTCTTCAAAACATAACTCCTGTCCTGATTTCCCTGAACCTCAAGGACTGGGAAATTTTTTTGAAACTGAAAGTGTGAAATCTGCAGCACAGAGGGGCCAGGTCCCTGCACTCTCTGGGGAAGCTTTCTTACTTGCCAGTAGCTTTTTCAGGTCCTAACACTGGCTACTTCTCCCACGTGAGCAGATCTCCTCTTATCAAGTCTCATCAAGCTGGGAGCAAGAGCTGGATCTGTTGTCACCAAGCGACACTTGAATTAGACCCAAAGTGAAATAGTTTAGAAGTGCTAACCAGCCATCCCACATTCCAGCCACTCCTTCTAGATTGAAGCTACTTTCTGCACACACTTGAAAAGTACAGAGGTAACGTGTACAGACCTATAACTGCAGCACAGCACTCCTGGGGCACAATAACTTGGAGTCGAGACAGTCAATTCTACAAGAATTTATTACACAGGAATTGTTCTGTAAATTGCAGTCTGCTGATTCTTACTTGTACAAGGCCACAAAGACAACTAAAGAAATCCCTCAAGCTGTATGGCAGTCACAGAGATCACTTGCACCTACCTCCTGACTGATTGACTGTGTCGGCTTCTGCAAATTGGAGACAGATTTCTGCAAACCCTGCTGCGGCAGCGACTCCTGCAGCTGTGCAGCCGTCGCACTGGAACTGAAAAAGAGGTAACAGAGGTGAGATCAAAGTGGAAGGGAGGCGAGAACACAAACAGCTCTGACAATATAGGAGTTGCTAAAAGATCAAGCTAACATTGGCTCTACACTGGCATGGACCACAGAACTGATCACTGTAAGGTCCAACACACAGCAGAGCAGTGCACAACTGCTGCTGCTTGCCTGACAAAACTTAGCAAAGAGTAATTCTACCTACTTCTTTTGGTCTGGCTGATCCTGCTTGTTTGCCCATCCTGTACCGTCCTTGGGTACTATAATGATGTTGGGGTCGTTTCCTTTGTTCTCAGACTTCAAACTAGGCAAGTTTGCAGGAGGTGGCATGCGCCGGGCAGCAGCAACTTTCCCAAGACTCTGTAAGCCATGTCTAGGAATAACTAGCAAGAAAGGAACAACAGCAAGTCACAGAGGGCTGTACCCTGCTAGATAAGTAACCTTAATTAGCGTAGTGTGGCCAGGTGCAGTCCCAACTGAACTGTACAACAAGCAGCATCACTGCTGCTATGTCAACATACAGGTCACGTCCCAGAGGACCAGAGCGAGGCAGCCGTCTGTTGTAGCAGCTGGCTAACAGGCAGCCTCCTACAACAGTCAGGAGGGAGAGAGAAATAATTCCCCCTAACAGCAAATGCCCACAGAGTCTTTTAACTACCTGTGCCCATACTCATCTTTCATTTCACCAAGGAGAAGCAGCATCACCCTCTCACGGCTTGGGGAAATGGCAACCCAAGTCCACCTCTGAGCAGGCAGCCTGGTAATCTAACCCAGGAGTCCTGAGGTCTAGATTTTCCAGCTCTACCCACCAGATCGGGTTTATTAAGATGGTATTTTATTTTCTTTGTTTTTCTCCTTCCACACCAAATCCAGAGCCAGTTCAGGCAATGTTTCTATTTCTTTTTTTGACCCCACCATCTACTTTTGGTCACATCTCCACTGCAAAACTAACTCACATTCTTCCCAGAGACCTTCAGTCCTTCACTCTCAACTTAAGGCACTTCAGTCAGCTTAACTGCCCCATCTTGGTGCAGCCTAAGGCCGCAGTAAGGCTTTCACTCAAGTTTGCAACCTGGACACAGGCTAAACAAAAGGGCCAACAGTCCCCCAGCTGTTTCGCTGCAATTCCTCCATGTCTCTACAATAAAAGCAGCACAAAGAACCACATTTTCCTTGAAGTCCTGATGAAACACAGGCTTAGACACCAGCACAAACAGCTCTGCAACCCAGTTGCTTCCCACTGGACATCCTACCCATAGGGCCGACAGCCTGAATTCACTCTGCAACAACACTCTTGGAAGACATCAAAAGGAGCTTTCTGAAGGTATTTCTTACCTGTAGTTCTGATAGCTTCTATTGACTTTCCTTTATACTTATCAAACAGGCTGAGAGTCGAGTACTTGCTTTTCCCATCCTTTCCCTTGGTTATTTGCCCCAAACGATCGGACATTGCGATGAAATGTCATCTAGTAAGGAAATTTCTCTGCGCCGCTCCCGATCTGCCTTTTAATGAAAGAAAACCAAATTGATTATTTAGCTACAGACAAGTAAAACATGTACAGCTGCCAGAACTGCAGATATTCAGTGAGCAGACACGCTAAGTTACAAGGTTTTAATCCCCTCCCCTTTAGTCACAAGGAGTTGGCGGGATTTAAGATTCATAAACTGAATGAAAAGAACTGAACTGCAGCAACACACTTCTCACTGCATCAGGTTTTTTTCTGCCACTCCAGTGCTGAAAGAGGTGAGCTTCTTTAAGTTTGAGAATACAGGAGAGGGTGGTCAACACAGTCCCTGCTTTAAAAGAGTAAGTCTAACAATAAGCAGTTACACACGATTCCTGAACATAAATGACAGAAAAGCACTGTATCTTACACCACACTGGAATTTATCATTGGGTTTCCCACTGAAGCACTGGTAGTTGGGTTTGTAATGCTTAGGATTATGGTTCCACACTGGCCACAGTTAATGATTCATACCAGCAATTAATGCTTTGAAAGCACCACCTGAAGGCAACAGTTATTTCTTCAAATTCCCTTTTCCCACCTGCTGGACGTGAGAGAGAGTTAGAGTCCAAAAAACCTGCTCAAATGAAACAGGTTCAGACTCTTGAACCTGTGGGTTCAGCAGTTCTACTATGAATCCTGGAAACTCTTTATAAAAAAAGATTACATTTCTCTGTTGCTGGCACCTTCAACACCATTTTTAGCTATAAATATGCTTTTCACAATGGATGTGGTTTGTTCATTTGTCACTCTGATCTCTGCTGGCACAACATGCTGTGATTAACACCCATCATGCAGGCAGTCTTCACTTTTTGGCTCCCAAAGCCTAGGACAAAGCTGAAACATGGGGAATGCACATACTGTAGGTCAACTTTCATGTCAGAAAAGAAACTTCACTTACTTTCAATTGACTTTTCTTTCATTTTTTTTAAGCATAATTCTCTGCTCTAAATTTTCTCAAATCTAGGAGTTTAACCTTTTCACACATAATTTAATTTCCAGATTTCTTGTTCAAGCCTGAAATTTCACTTCAAGCCTGAAACTGCTGGCAGTTTTATTACACCATCTGTTAGGTCCCATCTTCGGGTTGCAACTTTGTGTTGGAATAACAAAACGCTACATATATTGACCCTTCGCACCCCTCACCCTTTCTGAAACTCATCCAGCTGAAAGCATGGTTCAAACTCGGTCAGAAATCACTCCTTCTGAAAGAAACTATCTGACCAGAAGCTACAACTTCCACCAGCAATGCCTCATCAAACATGATTTCCAGGTAAGAGGATTGTCCATCACGGATAGAAAGCAGAGATCACAAACACCAGGACAAACACCAAGCTCCACAAGAAGCCCCTCACAGCCACTTTGCCAGACCACCATGTGAGGCTGCAGCACAAAGGCTTGTGGAAGCAACAGGGCTGGCTGGTGTTCTTGAGGCTCCTTTGCTTGTGGAGAAGGAAACTGATCTTTGGCTCCTGTCTGGTTCCATCTTTGCTCAGATGGTCACCATGAGCCAAAGAAAACAATAGCTCCTCCCTCACTTGCCCATTTCCACTGTATTTTATTAGATGTAAAAAAGAAAGGGAGAAAAAACACTGATTAGCACAGATTTGGCAGGGAAGCAGAAGCTGGACTGAGAACAAGGACCTGTTTGAACTGGCAGAGTTGTGGGGAGCCCTGGACCAGAGAGAATAGCAGAGGGTGCAGCACACCAGCCCGGCCACCAGCTTTTACAGGTACATGGATCCTCGCAGAGAGAGCCTGGCTTGGGGTCTATCCAAACCACGTCAAACCCGTACCAACCTCACACAATGAAAACTCAAATCAGACAAAACTAGTAGGCAAAAAAAATCCCAACAAAAACCAATCCCAAACCCAACAACAACAAAAAAAACCCAACCAAAAGAAACTACCACATCAGGTTCAGGAGTTAGCTGGTTAACAGAAAATCCCTAAATTCCTCAAAATCCACATGCAAACAGCGGGCAGAGTAACGCTGCCAAAGAGAAACCCTGACAACCAGCGCTGTAACGGTCTCAGCTGCCTCTTGACTACATCTTCTATCAGCAGAAGGATGCAAGAGGAATAAACAACCACTTCAGAGCAGAGGAGCTGAGGACATGTGGGGATAAAGCCCCTAGTCAAATTTTCCAGGACAGCCACAACTGCTGTCTGGGTATGTGAACGTTACTTTGAACTCCACCAAGACTTTGAAGCTGCAAACGCGAACACAGCTTTGTTTGTGCGTGACGCGTGCGCTCCGAAGGGGAAAACGAGTCCAAGGAGAGGTGAGGCAATCTCCACACGGTCACAGTGCAGAGGCTGTAGCGGTGCTGAGCCCCCTCGGAACATCCCTTAGTGCCTGTCCCTTCTGGCAGTAGCCAGCTGCAGACCTGAGCTAGTCTGTGGGTGTATTGGCCAGGGGAATCACTTGGCACTCAGGTCACACAGAGCCTCCCAAGGCTGGCCACAACACTGGACTATCTTCCCACCACGGAGTCAGGCACAGAATCCAGGCAGGGATCATCCAGGTCTTCCAGTCTTGCAGAGTGAAGCCATTCCTGATAAAAATCAAGCTCATTAAGAACTGAGCTGCCAGCCTGCACGCTTATTATTAGGAGAGCTAAAACCAGAAGGCACATGCCGATGCTGACAACCAAAAACTGACAGTCTCGGCAAAGCTTCTGACCTGTGCTCAGGGTCTCTGTGCCGGACAGCTGGCCCTGAAGAAAGCATTATCCTCTGTTACAGAGAAATATATCTAAAAAAAAAAATAAAATCATGAGCATTTCTGCAAGGTTTCTCTCTGGGTTTATAGAAGTCTTTGGGCAAAGGTTCACTATCAGTTTTAGCATGGAATGTAGCTCTTCCTCTTCTCAGGACTAGGACGGTCTCCTGTAAAATCCAAGGACAGCACCACAGAGCAAAATGCTGATTGTCTCAGAGGAATCAGAAAATACTACAGTAGGACCAGGTACATTAGAGGCCCTGGGGCACAAATAACTGTAGCAGAATCACTTCCTGGGCAGAGAGCTTCACCACCCAGGAGCCCTCACGTTCACATCACGTTGCCCCAGATTTCATGTGTGAGTACTGACCGTGTTTAACTGCATTTTAAAGGGGTATGTTCAAATCCAGAGAAAGCAACAGTGACATTTTAAGTGCCAGCGCATGCAAGTCTACAGCAGAGACCTACCGAGATCTACCTGCAAAGAGAGCCATGTGAAAACTTTGAATTACTGGCTCTGGTAACAACTGGAAACCCCTGAGCTGAAAACACAGCCAAAGGGAGAGACTCCTGACAAACAGGACTGTCTGCAAAGCTCTTTGTAAATCTATGTACGAAGGAGACTGGACTGCTGGTGTTTTATTCACAAGACTTCAATGGAGCTTGAATACCTGGAAGTCAGCCAGCCTTAATTGAGCAGGGCAAACAGATTTATGAAAGGTAAAACACACACACACTAGAAGGAATCACCTCAGCTACTGACACACCACCAAGCCCTACGCTGAGCACAATCACTTGGGCAAAAGACCCAAGACCACTGCAGACCTTCACTCCTTGCTCGCTTCCCATCAGCAGTCACAAACACAAAAACAAAGCAACAGGATAGAAAACAACACTAAAGAGGCTTTTCTCCAGAAGGAGGAAGATTTTTGACCCCAAATTTTACACAAATTGTTCAGAAACTCACAGGTTGCAAAGGCAAGAGAGAAGTGTTTGGAGTTGATGTTCAGCTGAATTCTATTGTGGTTTCTAGTGTTACTGGTAACATGAAGCCTTTTAAAAAAACAAAGTATAGTTTTACAGAAGATTAGTGATGTTCACTCTTCTTTAAATACACACTGTCAATTCTGCTGGTACTTCTCATAGCTAAACGTTTATATGTCAACAGGGAGATACTGCTGCTTCTCCTGGAACATGTCCCACCACGAATCACCTATTTGTGAAATGGTCACCACCTGCCTCAGCGATGAAAGACACCACTGGCTGCCCTTGGAAGAGCTCTGGTGAAACAGTGCAACCAGCCGCCCTCGGGGCTTGGTGCCAGATGCACCTATATCCTGTAAAAGCCCTGCTTCAGCCAGGCAGGGACCACCAGCCTGGCAGGGGAGGGACCAGAGGAGCATTCAGTTCCTAGGAGAGACTGCTTAGTAAGGACAGGAGCAACAGGAGAATATCAGTATCAAAATACAAAGTCAACAGGATCAATGCACAAGAGCTGTGCAGCAAGCAGAGGCTGCAGCAAGAGTCTAGGCCACAAGAAGACACTTGCTGTCATTCTGCTGCGTTGTTTCCAAAGGGAGCTGTTAAGATTTGTTGGTGCACCTGAAAAAGGGCCTGCCAAGATCCTGAATGTGGCATCAAGTCCCGCCAGACAGGGAGAAGCGAGTCAGCAGTTTGCAGTGCAGAGAAAAGACAGACACCACATAGCAAAGACAGATCCTGATTCACAATGGGGGGGATCATCCTCATTTAGCTGAACAGGTATATTTGGCAGTACCAGTTCTTTTAATTCTGCACAATTCCAGCTTTCCTCTGTATCTCTCATGAACCTTGTCTCCCTGTAAAAACAGGGAATAGGAGATCAGGATCACATCTCCTATGATGTACTGCAGAGGTATGCTGCTAGCTGAGTAACACTGACGGAGGCTGTCTGCCAGAAGACTAGCCCGCTGGCCAGCCCCATCACCAGGCCACTCTACGCCAAGCCACTGTGGATTTGAGACACACAGCAGGACCATGAAGGGGAGGGACAGTCTTTTGGACAGCTTATCTATTATTAACTCTGTGGTGTGGAGCTGTACAGGCAGAGATAAAACATGACAACTGGGGGAGGGGGGCAGAAAAATGATTCTCTAATATGACTTGACCACATTTTCTCAGCTCTGTCTTCACCAAGCTCACCTGCTGCCCCCTCTTATAAACATATCAACAGGTTGGGAA